GCAACAGCACACAAGCGTTCCAATTTCTCCACATCCTGGCCAACGCTTGTTTTCTGATTTTTTTGATAGTAGACCTCCTAATGGGTATGAGGTGTTATCTCATGGTAGTTTTGATGTGCATTTTCCTAATGATTATTGATGCTGAGCATCTTTTCATATGCTTATTGGCCATTCCTAGATCTTCTTTGGAGAAATGTGTGTTCAAGTCGTTTGCCCATTTTTTGTACTTTATTTTTAAGTCCATTATTGTGCTCTAATGTTTTATAACTGTATAGGATGGATAAGCCAAACATGGTGAGATCTAGACAAAGGTACAGATTCATTTCCTCCCAAAGTATGTATTATTTGGGAATTATTGGGAAACTCCCTGAAGACAATTTAAAAACTCTTTTTTAAAGTCTGTTCTTGGGGCGCCTGGGTGGTTCAGTCGTTAAGCGTCTGCCTTCGGCTCAGGTCATGGTCCCGGGGTCCTGGGATCGAGCCCCGCATCGGGCTCCCTGCTCCACGGGAAGCCTGCTTCTCCCTCTGCCACTCCCCCTGCTTGTGTTCCCTCTGTCACTGTCTCTCTCTCTGTCAAATAAATAAAAATCTTTAAAAAAAAAAATGTCTGTTCTTACATGGAAATTTATATCTTTATGTATATATATGTTACATATGTAACATGGAAATTTATATCTTTATGTATACATATATAAAATACCAGGCAAGGAACAGATGTGATTTACATACATTATCTAATGGGAGCTTTGCAACCCTACCAAGCACATCCATGGCGTGAGAACACTTGCGCACACAGAGCTGAAGCCCTGTTGTCCTACTACATTGGGACTGATAATTAGTTAACTTGATGAGTCAGCTAAAATGATGAGGATACACGAAAAATCACACATGCTTTAGACATTTAATTTTAAATGAAAACATAATTTTTTAAACAACACGCTGATTTTAGCGTTTTGTTTTTTCCTGGCTGTGCAAATGGAGACCCCGATATTCTTCCGCCAGAGTTCTGTCACTTGCTATGAAATTTTGAGTGCCAAAAATGTTTTGATGTTGGCCTAGGCCCTTTTCTTTGAGGAAGGATCCTCTGACTGAAGTATCTTATTTAAACTTCAGCCACAATTTGTTGGCTACAACTGACATTTACTTTTCTCTAAGGTGGATCTAGAATTTAGCAATACTTGCAGAGTAATCTATGTTCAGGATCTTTCTAGAATTTTTCCAGCCTTTTACAGTTGTCGCTCCCACACCTAATTCAACAGATTTTTTTCACTGTTTGCCTTCACTGAGCCTTTACAAGGCATTTAACTTAGTTTTTACAGAAATGGCCCTTTTTTTGGCATTCATATCTAATTGCTTTTACATGGTGCATGGATAGCATAAAGGCAAAGTAAATACAGTTGTCACCAAAATGTTTGAAAGGAAACACAGCTCACCTGGCATAAGCACACAGCTCCGTTGGTGGGAACAAACGTGAGCTGGTGTGTTGACATGGTGACCACGGTGGCTGATGCTTATGTGGGACTCGCTATGTGTTCTAAGCTCTTTACATGCAATGACTCAATCTCCACGGAACCCCATCAAGTAAGGTACTGGTATTTCTTTTTCACAGACAAGGAAAATGATGCACGGAGAGATTTGCCTAAGAGTAGCCTTCCAGCATTCAACCTGTCTTAGGCTTCAGGCAATATATTTTGCAAAGGGAATGCGAACATTTTATATGGAAGTAAATCAAGAGCAAGGAGAGTGAGCAAGTGAGAGCGCAACTGTGTAGAGATGTCTGTCCCTTAAACGGAAGCCCCATCTAGCACATAAAGACTTCTGAAACCCTCTTCATAGTACCCTAAAATTAGAATCTAGGTTTTTTAGGGGTAGAAATGATCCCCATAACCTATTCTGACAGGATAACCAAGGCCCAGAGAGCTGAGATGTTTTGCTTTACAAGCACTCACCTAGTTAATGGCATATTCTTTATAAGATTTAGTTTCCTGGCTTACTTCACATTTTCTTCCAGGAGAAAATGATGCACCACCAGGATATAATGTTCCTGAACATTATCCAGGAAATGAGATTCTCTCAGAGTTTGCCAAGAGAGAAGGAGGGTCGGTAGATGTGAATACCTCAGTGTTCTTGAATCCACATCTATATCAAGCCAGTACAAGACTTGGTCCAGAGAATCTTCGGGCTGGAAAAGGGTCTAGTGATGTGGCTTTAACCATCCTATCTAGAGAAGGAAGGAATGAGGCCAGCTGAGCACATACAAGGTAGGTGATGATACCTATACTATTTTACAGATGAGGAAGCTGAGCTTCAGAGAGGTCAAGTAATGTATCCAAAGTCACACAGCCAGAAAGAAATGGAACCCAAGTGTGAACCTAGTCTTGCTGAAGCTGAGGCCCATGGTCTTTGTGCCACCTCATGCCACCACCCCACAGGGCAGGGTAATTGTTCACCCTGCACAGTTGGTTAACAACAGTTGTTTGGCTTGTTTGGCAAATTCTCCCTAAAGCTAATCCTAAATATCTCCCTAGTTTAAATCAGTATCCTTCTGCAGTCCTCAGCAACAGAAACAATTGATCATGGTATTTGGATAATCTTTACATTTTGTGAATGAAATTGCATCTTGGATGGACATTTTTAAGCCAACCTGAGGGGAGAAAAGAAGACAGATGGGGGGTGTTTCGAGCATTGGTAGAATCTCAGGGTAGGAGGAATCTCTTTCAGCTTGCCATTATTTATGTTCACATCAGCTGTGTAGCAGCTTCAGCCTCTGCTGGACGCTTCTCAGCCCAGGGATTAAGAGCCATAAGACCAAGGGAACTCACCGTATTAGCCAGCCCATTTCATCTTTGGCCAGGAAGTCACACTTACATATAGTCTTTAACAGGATGAAGCTTCTTAAAACATTACTTTAGATTTTTCTTCTGTTTATAAAAAGTAATATTTATAATAGAAACTTTAATAACTGTAAAAAGCTCATGCAAGAATATGAAAGCCTATGTGTATTAGTTATCTACAGCTGTGTAACAAATTACTCCCAAAACTTAAAGCAACAAACTTTTATTATCTCATGTGCTTTGAGAGTCTGGAATCTGATAGTGGCCTAGCTTGGGTAGTTCTCTCATGAAGTTGAGGTCAAGCTGTGAGTTGAGGCTATAGTCATTTGGAAATTTGGGGCCAGAGGGTCTGCTTTTAAACTTAATCATGTGGAGGTTGGCAGGAGGCTTCAGTTCTTGCCATATGAGCCTCTCCATAGGGCTGTTTACAACATGGCTTCCTTCAGTGCCATGTTGATCTGAGAGCACTTGCGCTAGAGAGCCATCAGGATAGAAGCCGCAGTCTTTTATAAGCTGGTCTAAGAAATGGCATTCCATCACTCCTGTTGAGTTCTGTTGGTCACTTAACCAATCCAGGTATAATACTGTAGGAGGGCACTACACAAGGGTGTGAATACCGGGAAGTAGGGATCATTGGAGGCCATCTTGAAGTCTCCCCACTATGGTCTGTAAGGTAAAATTTTGTTAGGATGAATTACATGAGTTTTTACCCACTATTCCTCCCCTGCCACCCACTGAAGTTTACAAATATGAATACTGAAGTATTACAAAATACAAAAGATCACCAGGAAAAAAAATTGAAGGGAACTTAATATTCAGGGATGAATGCCCAGGAAACTGTTACCCCTTCTCCGATCCTGGAGGAACTTCCTGATTTTATTCCAAGTCTGTCATATTGGCATGTGTATGGTTTGGGGAAGAGGGGAGTAATGGCAAAAGAGTGGATGGAAATCTCTGGATGTACTTTGGTCTTGAAGTCATTTGCGATGGTGGGAACATGAGATACGGGATGAAGAGTTTAGGATTCAGTCCAGGCTGTAACTTGGGAGAAGGCACATGGTTCCTGGACCCCTTCGCTCTGCTATTTCTGATGCAGTGTAAGAAGCAGAGGTTTGTTAAGAGATTTCCAGTTTTTACAAGTAATTATTTGATGAAAAAGATATAAATAAATACTTCAATCATAAATGTATTGAAAGGGACTTAAAAGTTTTCTGGGGGGAAAGAATTTTGTTTATGCAAAAACAATATACTGAGATCCAGTAAGAAATCCTGACATGTGGATAAGCAATAATATTCTACAGCCGCTTCTCAACTATTAAGTCACATAGATAATATAAAAAACTCATGGGTACATGGTAATACATTTATGAGCAAGTGAGATTTCTATATCACACATGCAGGGCTTTAAAAAAAAAAACAAACACATGCCTGTATAGTATTTTGGTGAATAATGGTAATGCAAAAGAGAATTGTAATAATCAAATTTGAGTGAATTCTTTCATAGTACATACAGCCAAAAGAAATTTATCAGTAAAAACTGGCACAAAACAACAAAATGGAATAAATTTGAATAAATTCCTGCAAAGGCAGTCATAAGACATGTTGATAAATGTTTCAACATGAACTGATACAAAGTATAACATAAAATACTATTTTTGAAGGAGTTCCTATGCCATGCATTCAATAAAAGCAGCTATTTCATTGAATGGTAATTTGTGCATGCCAAGCAACAAGGGGAGAAACTGAATGTTTTCCCACCGTGGCTCAAAGCTGATGTTTTCATGCTGGCTTGGAGCTGCAGGTTGCAGCGATCACATGGACGGGAACCTTAGATGTCGGGAATAGCCCACATTTGGCTTCTGGTCAGCCGAGTGGTCCTCGGCCCCCTCCCATCTTGGGGGCCCTCTGGCAGACTAAAGCACCAATGCAGTGAACTGGTGTGGCCTCTCCACCGTGCCTCCCTCAACCAGAGGAGACCCATGGATCTCTTCATCCCAAGCCAGATGGATTGGTGGTCAAGTATAGAGAGCAGGCAACACAGCCATGAAGTAAGTACTCCTTGGTTGGACTCTGAGAGGCCAAGCGTCCCAAGTCATTGTTTTGAATATGGAGCAACTTCATAACCAACAGTTGACTCCAGAGCCCTTTCTACATCTTTCCTTTCAGGCCTTGAGATCTGTGGTCTTGGAACAGTGGGTTCCTCTTCTGGGTCCAGATGTGGCCCCCTACGACAGTGTGAAGAACTCGAGCCTTCCCATAAGCATGTTTCCCCCATTGCGGCTCATGCTCTAGAAGAGGTTGTGCCAGACAGAGACATGATTTCAGGGCATTGAGCCGAACCCCTTACATGCGGCTACACAGCCCCCTTAGTCCTGCTGTCTACTGGAATCCAGCCAACCTGGCTCAGCGCACAGGAGAAGGTAAGCCTAGACCTCTCTCCATGGCAGGCCGTGCCTCAGAGAAAATGGAGTGGACCGGGCCAACCGACTGCAGAAGCCACAGCTAGGCTTGTTGCAGACTTCCATGTGGGGTTCTTGCCACCTCCCAGGAGGCAGAGATAGAACTGGAGACTGGAATGTTGGCTTGTTCAGTAGTTCATGGCGGGGTGGGGGGGGGGGGGCGGCAGCAAGGAGCTTGTGGGGAACACGGAGTTTGGCAGCCGTTAAGACCTTTGGTCAATTGCATACTGTCCTTATGCCTCAGCTTCCTCACCTGTGAAATGGGGTACCTGCCTGATGGGATTGCGGTGAGGATTAAATTAGGTAATGTATTTAAAGGTACCAGGACTGTTTCTGGTACATAGTAAGGGTTTAGTAATTCTAGTTAAAATCTAAACGCTGTGTAATCCCATGTGAATCTAATCTTTCTAGTTTAATCTGTAAATGAAAAGACCCAGGTGGTCTGTAAAATCTTTGTTGGTTCTAAGTATCCCTTTCTCACATGAGCACCCATTCCTTCCTTCCCCAGTCCAGTGCCCATCCTGTTTCCGCTTCTATAGACTGAGTGCGGATGGAGTGGAGAGCACCTCTGGCAAGGTGGAAACAGCTGTGGGTCTAGGAGGCTCTGGCCTCAACCTGCTTCCTGGAGCTCTGTTGCCCCTGAGCCTCAGTTTCCTCATTTGTATGAAGCGGGGTAGCATTGTGTGCTGCACAGGGTGATGAGAATTCTTGCTAGACTGAAGGCACCTATAGTTTCTGGCGCCAGCTGGTGACCAGGATGAAGTATCTATTATCACTGTCTCTCAGGCATCAGGGGGCCTTTCGTTCTTGGGCTCCTGAGCCCTGTCTACCTGGGAATGCTCTTCTCCCTTGGTGCCAGTGGGCCTTGTCACCTGCTGGCAGCACGCATCCATCATGTTGCCTAATTAGTGAGGAGTTGGCTGGGTGAACAGCCATGGAGGGGGCCGCGCCTGAGGCTTGCATAGCCTCTCGGTAATTCTGCCAGTCAGCCACCACATGTGAGGTACGATGCCCACCTTGAGGAACTAATGGTCTAGGGTGGAGGCTGAACAGATGTTGGTCTGGCTTTCTGACCAAAGCTGGGTTTAGTGTTCCTAGGGCAGGGTGGATCTCTTTGCTGGAACATACTGAAAATCTTAATAATCTTTCACTGTGATTCTTCTTAAGGTCACAATAGTTCTTGGTCTCAAAGCCAAAAGGTTCTGAACTATTACAGATCTAGGTTTTTCTGACAGAGTAAGATCTCTCAACCAACCAAATAGCACAAGTCGGTTTCAGATTAAACTCGTTGCTGAAGTCCTAAATTCTGGAGTGAAGTGGCGAGGATATTGCCGGCAGATCTCCCAGCTGTAACGCAGTGGCGGGTTGAGATTCTGGAGTTGGATGCCTGGGTGCCCACCCTGGGCCAGGTCACTTGTGTCTTTGAAGCTCAGTTTGTATACTTGCAAAGGGATGGAGTTAGTAGTGTTCACCTCTGAGGGTTGTTGTGAGACCCAGTGAAATACGATACAAGTGAAGTACCTGACTGCACCCTGTCTGTTTTAAGGACTCGAATAAACGTCAGCTCTTATATTTAACTTATAACAGGCATATCACTTTTTAAACTCACTGCTCGTGTCTGGCAGTTTTTTACTCTCTAAAAGTAATTGTAATCTTTTTTCCCCCCCCAAAAGATTGATTTCTTAGAGAGAGAGAGAGAGAGAGAGAGAATATACACACGAGCATGGTGGGGAGGGACAGAGGGAGAGAGTCTCAAGCTGACCCCATGGTGAGTGTGGAGCACGATGCGGGGCTTGATCTCATGACCCTGAGATCATGACCTGAGCGGACAACTTAACTGACTGAGCCACCCAGGCGCCCTGTAATTGTAATCATTTTCAAATTCTAAAGTAGGTTTGCAGGAGAAGTCTTTGATGTCCTTGATTTTTGAGTGCACCTGTCTTAGTTGAATGCAGAATAACCAAGTGGAGGTAGGCAGTTAAAAATATTAGCATCTTCCGGATCATGTCCTCAACTGCATTATAAGTGAGTGCTTGGATGTAAGGGCAGTACCTGCATTTGTGTGTGTGTGCTCTCAGTGCACGGATGTGGGCCACACAGTGGTGACAATGTTCAAGAGGCATTTGTGGTTTAGAGCTTGGGGGTCTGGAGGGTTTCCTGGTTTTGCATCCTGGCTCCACCACTATCAATTTGTATGGCCTTGGGTGAGTCACTTAACTCAGCTGTTTCCTCATCTACACGTGGGTAGAGTACATTTTCCCCTCGGGTCACTGTGAAGACTGAGATCAATAAGGAGCAATTTGTAGTGTGGTCATACTAAACTGGGAGCCGTCGGTACTCAGCAGGGCGGTGGGCAGTCTGGCCCTTGTATGTGTACTTTGCGATTATAGCTCATTGGTGGTAAGCATAGCTGGGAAGTACACAATGAAAAAAAGTCTGTTTCTCATTGAGCAGTGACTGAACCAGTCACCCATTTGATGCACGATCTCATTTATACACAGAATCTAAAAAAGTTGAATTCCTAAAAGCAGAGAGTAGCATGGTGGTTGCCAGGGGCTAGGGGGATGAGGGAAATGGGGAGATGTTGTTCAAAGGGTACAAAGGTTCAGTTCTGTGAGACTGAGTGAATCCTGGAGATCGAATATACAGCGTGCTGAGTATAGTTAATACTTTATTGTGTACTTGAAATTCGCTAAAAGTAGATCTTAAATAGTCTCAACGCACCCACAATGCTAAGCCTGTGATGTGATGGCTATGTTAATTAGCTTGATTGTGGTAGTCATTACAATGTACAGTATATTAAAAACCTCACGCTGTACACATTGAATATATACAATTTTTACTTGTTAATTATACCTCCGTGAAGCTGGAAGAAAATGCAGATTTCAGGGATGGTGCAATGCTACCGCTGAAGCGATTAAGAGAGCTTTGTAGAGTTATCATGTGACACCTCCTCATAACTGGCTGACTTCGGGTTAAGTATGAAGTCTCATCATCCCAATCTGGCCTCTAGGTTTTTTGCTGTTTTATAGCACACACTTACGTAAACAAATGTTCCCTGTGTAAACATTTATGAAAGTCAAAATACCAAAACAGATTAAATATAGAACCAGGCTGGATGCCACATCAGTGTTTTAGTGGCAGCAAAAAACATCATCTGTTACATTTAATTATTGTGGTTAGTTTGAGTTTTGTTGGTTTGATCGTGTTGGTAGTTGATTTGGGAATGTCTTTGGGATTTCTTACCCATTTTTCTGCACAATTAAAGAATATTTTAATAACCGTACATCAACATTCAGAGTCCGTGAGTATTTTAAAGAGGGTTTATACATCAGTTGAGAAGCCCAGACTCTCTAGATCATTCAGCGTGTGCAGAGAAGAGTCCTGTGCCCAGCTGATTTTTCCAGCTTGCTGGATGCTCAGCACACATTTCTCTGTCCAACTCGCACATTGGGCAGAACAACACTTAAACCCTCCTGGTTTCTGTGTTAGGTGGTTGATTGGGTCACTCTGGCTGTGCGGAGGAGCTTCTTTGATTCTTGTGTGCTTTTAGCAGAAAGGGGAAAGATTTCGCTTTTTCATTGCTCGCTAGGTTCTGTCTTCCATCTTCTATTCATCAGACATAGCCACTTGGAAATTCTTTTTTTTTTTTCCCCTTTAAATTAGGCACACCATTATTCTATCTTCCCGTTGTTTCTTTTTCACATTTTTATATTAGGAAGTGTACTGTTGGCATGTTCTCAGACCCCTAGTGATAATATCTGAGCTTTCCCCAGGCTTGCTTTCTCTGGGAGCTCTGGGCTCTTCACAGATCACACCATTAGTCCTCACAGTGACTCCTGGAGGTAGGATGAGACAGAGCGTCTGGGTGTGGGAACAGGAGGGCTGGAGGGTAGTGTCTGAGGAAAGCAGTGGGTTATTCCTTTTATGTTAGCATTTCAGCTTTAGGCAGACTTCACCAAGTGCACCTATTTTCATTCTTTCTTCAAAGCATTTTTGCAAGTGGTAACAGTCATTAACTTCATTGCTGCAGAATGAAGTAAAAGGGATACTAATGTAGCTATTGAGAAATGAGAACATTCACTCAAATCTTTTTAGGGTCATTAAGAAAGAGCAGTTTTGACTGTTGGTTTTGGTGTGATTTTTAGGATTTGGAGTGTCTTTAAATTGCTCTTAAAGTCTGAAATTGAGTGATCAAAAGAAACCCCCTCTAATAATGTAGGTGTCTTGAGTCTCTTCAGTTTAGCTGTTTAAAGGTGCAAGATTAATATTCCTAAAGCTCAGCTCTGATCATTTCAAAATTTTGTTTTATTTCTTTTTAAACATTATGAGCTTTGAAGTCAAAAGCCCTGGCTTCATTTTATGGGCCGGTTATATAATCTGTCTGATTCTCACTTCCCCCTCTAGTGGAAATAATAATACTCACTTCAAAGGGTGGTTGTTACACTTAAGCGATATGTGTGGGATGCTAAGCACAGTAGGTGTCAATAAAACTAAAAATAAAAAAGTCAGAAGCTGAAAACCTTTAAGGACCTCTCTGTCCCTACAGTATAAAATCCAAATTCTTTTTAACTTTTTGAAAAATTTTAAGTAGACTCCACACCCAACGTGGCACTTAAACTCACGACCCTGAGATCAAGAGTCATATGCTCTTACCAACTGAGCCAGCCAGACTCCCCCAAATCCAATTTCTTGGATACCACGTTCTAGACCCTCCACAGTCTGGCCTGGAATAACCTAATAACTGAGTTGTTCGTTTCCAGCCAAATAGACAACTTCACTCTTTCTTTTCCATAAAATAAAGCAGTGGTTTTCAAATTTTTGACCAAGGCCCTCAGTATGACATATATTTTATTTAATTTTTTAAAGATTTGATTTATTTGTCAGCACAAGCAGGGGGAGCAGCAGGCAGAGGGAGAGGGAGAAGCAGGCTCCCCGCTGAGCAAGGAGCCCGACGCGGG